CAGGTGACCCAGTACTCACCTGTCCCGGGAACCGCTGTATCTCACGTAGCTGATCAGGGTGAAGAGAAGAGGCGCTCGCGGCCTTCCGTTGTTATTGGGCCAGGTCCTCCGTCGTACCGCAGGCGACAGCAATCGCACCTCCCGGCCGAAGAGGCACGTCGCTGAGTCTTTTTTACCTTTTTCCCCGTACGGGGGCCACCAGATGACCGGAGCCGCGGGAGACAGGAGACCAAACTCGAGCAGGATCAGCTCTCAAACTTTATTATGTACAGCGAACCGGACCTAACAAGGTCCGCCACCCTCAACGTTGGTTCCTCTTCCGCCGTTGGGGGCAGGAACAACCTCTTATAAGGGGAAGCAGTATCCAATCACAGAGAAGCGCGCCTAACAAGCTGATAGGCTAGCGTCACGGGTAACTGGGCAGATATGACAATTTGGCGGGCTTGTTCAGGCCGGGAAGAACCCGGAAGCAGGAAATGGGCGCCATCATAGGCGGCTTCCCACAACTGCCTAAGCACCTGTCTGGGCCTAGCTTATGCCCTGGCTAGGATGCAGTGCATCCCACTCCTTTGCCCTTAAGGGAAGCAGACTAGTAGACTAGAAGACAATAAACAAAATGAAGAAATGTATATTATGTAAGGAAATTTTGGAGGCCAGCCTGAGCTATGTAGTGTGAGACCCTGTCTCAATTTATGAAAAAAAAAAAGGAGCAGTGCCTTTAAGGAAAGGGCAGCCAGGAGATGTACAGGAGATAGGAAACATACTCCCTGCAGAAGGAAGAACAGATACAAAGGCCTTGTGGCTGGAAGGAATACAAAAGTAGCAGCAAGAAATTTAGCCTGGCTGAAGTGGAATGGTTATGGGAGGTGGAATTCAGGGGTAACGGGGTGTGGCAGGGATCTGGGGCATTCTTCAGAAGTGAATCCAGAGCAGTGAAAGGTCTACCAAAGACCAGGTGAATGGGCTGGGCCCTGGCTGGGCTTGGTTTGCTTGACAGCCAGTTGGAACTATCCAGCTGGCCACTGGCCATGCACATGGGGGGTTTAGGAGAGAAGTCTGGGCTAAGGGTGCGAACCTGCAGTCTATTAGCTAATAAGTCTATGAGCATGTTAAAGCCATGAAATGGGAGAGTCCAGGCCAAGACCATTAAATATAATAAATATAAGGCAAAAGGATTCACTCGTCTGAACATTAAGATCACAGCAAAAGGAGCATCCATTGAAGTTGGGGGAGGCCTAGAGGAGCTTGTGTCCTAGAAGACCAGAGGTAAAATTTCTACAGTGAAGGGAGAACATGAGTGTTAAAACTGCGCAGGGATCAGGTTTGGTGAGGACGGAGAGTTGACCATTGACTGTAGCAACATAGGTCAGTGGTGTCTTCAACCTGAGCCAGCTTGGTAGCGAGTGAAAGTCTGAGTGGTGTGGAGACAGCAGAGAGCAGACAAGAGAAATGAGAGAGAAGGGACACAGAGAAATGGGGGGCCTTCATGCTGGTAGCTTTCATAGCTTTTGGCAGGTTCACTTAGAGCCAAGGGCATCTTTGTGGCCAGTGTACACTCCCAGGAGGCCCAGTGTACATCCCTGTCGGGGCATGTAATCCTTACTGTCCTCTTCCCCTGCAGTCCATGCTGCTCCTGGCCCCAAAGCTAAATGAGAACAACCTCAATGTGGAGCTGATGAAGCACTTTGCACGGCTGCAGGCCAAGGATGAACAGGGCCCCATCCGCTGCAACACCACAGTCTGTCTGGGCAAAATCGGTTCCTACCTCAGTGCCAGCGTGAGTGTCCCAGAGCTGGGATGCCTGCATGCTGGGCCATCATCCCCCGAGACCTAGGCCCTGGGCACTCTTAGCTCCAGAGTTGAACTCCTAGAACTGGAGTGGGTTGTGCTGGGTCTGTACAACCTGTGGAAGGCAGGCTTGGGATCTGGACCTGGGCCTGCATGTTCATCCCCTCAGCCAGGGTCTGTGGCCCCTGCTACTGTGGTGCTGGTATCTAGACAGTTAACAGGAATGAGTAGATTGGGTTAGCAGAGAGGGAGGGAGGAAAGAAGTGTGTGTACCTATCCCTGGGCAGCCAGTTTTCCTGAGACATCCTGGAGCCCAGGGGTCAGGAGGAGGAGGCCAGGTTGAGTTTTAGGTAAATTCCCATGTAGGTTGTTAGTTAAGGTAAGTTCCCTGTTCTGGGACGTAAGATCTAATGGCTCTGGGGCTCCATGTTAACCCAGCACTTAGAAGTCCTTTCCTTTCCTGCTCCCCCAGACCAGACACAGAGTCCTCACCTCTGCCTTCAGTCGGGCTACAAAAGACCCATTTGCCCCATCCCGGGTTGCGGGTGTCCTGGGCTTTGCTGCTACCCACAACCTCTACTCACTGAGTGACTGTGCCCACAAGATCCTGCCTGTGCTCTGTGGCCTCACTGTTGATCCTGAAAAATCTGTGCGGGAGCAGGTAAGCCACAGCTGATGTGGGACCTTGGGCTGGGGCTCTGAGGTGTGTGGGCCCTGCGCAGCCTGCCAGGCCCCCAAAGACCTGGGATTCCCCAGCTCCACCCCTTGTCACCCCACAGGCCTTCAAAGCCATTCGAAGCTTCTTGTCCAAATTGGAGTCTGTATCAGAGGATCCCACCCAGCTGGCAGAAGTAGGTGAGTGGCCCACAGCTGTGCTGCTTTTCCTCTGCCATGTCCTCAACACTCAGGTGGTGTGTCCTGTCCCACTGGTGTGTCTAAAGCTGGGTAAACCCTGGTAAGCAGAGCTGACTCCCTTTCTGCTTCATAGATGGGAGGAGCCAGGCCTGGAGAAGAGGGGACAGCTGCAGGTCACTTGCCCTCCTTTCCCCTCCCCACTGATCCTGAGTTGCCCATACTTGCTTTTTCCTTCTGCACTACCCAGAGAAAGATGTCCATGCAGCTTCTAGTCCTGGGATGGGAGGAACTGCAGCCAGCTGGGCAGGCTGGGCTGTGACTGGAGTCTCCTCACTCACCTCCAAGCTGATCCGTACACACCCCACGGCCACGTCTGCTGAGACGAATGTCTCCCAGAGACCGACCCCTGAGGGTGAGTGTTCTGGCCTGGCTGCCACAGTGGCTGAGAGGGCCAGGAGGTGTCGGCCCCCAGGGGCTGCTGATGACTGGCTTCCCCTGGAATGGTGATGGGGACCTAGTGGGTGACAGGGTATAGTCCCTTTGTGGGTTTCCCACACTCATCCTGCTCCCTATCCAAAGACCTTCCTGAGAGCTCAAGGACTTCTGTTCCCAGGAAATCCTACCCCGGCGCCCACCCCTGTCCCTGCTGCCTCCACAACCTCAAGCCATTGGGAGACACAGCAGGAGGACAAAGATGAAGCAGAGGACAGCACTACTGACAGATGGGATGAAGAGGACTGGGGCAGCTTGGAGGTGAGTAGCTGAGGCCTCCCCAGGGTACCCCAGGGCATGCATGGGGCTCCCTGGAGTCAGGCCTGCCCTCATCTGCACAGAGCCACTGCAAGTTAGCTCATGGAGTTTGCCCTGTAGGCCAGAGCCACCTGCTGAACCCCCCAGCTCTGGGGCCCTGCAGCAGAGTGGGAAAGGGAGGGCGGACAGGTTGAACAGCCTCTGGACCTGTCAGTGTCCTCTGCACCCTGTCATTCACCTGTCAGTGTCCATCCAGCTCAGGGTCAGCAAGGCGAGGCCACCTGAGGCCTGAACCAGACCAAGCCTGGAGGGCTGCCAAGGATGACTGGAAGGTGCAGTGTGCTGCCCTGAAGAGAATCACAAAGCTCTGGGCCAGCTTCCCTGTCTGACAGCAGCACATGAGTTGAGGGGAGAGCCATGGGTGAGGGCAGGGTATCCTCTTGATAGGGAAGCAAGTGAGAAGGCAGATAATGGCCACCAAGTAGCTGGGCATGGCAGTGCAAGCCTGTAGTCCCAGCACTTTGGGAAGCTAGACAAGAGCATTACAAGCAGGTATGAGACCTTGCCTAAAACTAAATCATTAAAGGCTGGGGTTGGGTGTGGTGGCGCACATACTTAGGAGGCTGAGGCAGGATTGTTGCAAGTTTAAGACCAGTCTGGGCTACAAAATGAGTTCACGGCCAGACTGATCTGCATAGGGAGAACCTGACTCAAAAAAAGAAAAAAAAAAAAAAGGACCTGGGATGTAGCTTGGCACAAAGGCCCTGGACTCCCAGTATCACGCACTTGTGCAACACTACTGGTGGCCAGGAGGGGCTGGAGCCAGTTCATTTGCCCTTTTGGGAGTTGGATGTGTTACTGATCACACCTCCTTCCTCAACTCACACTGCAGCAGGAGGCGGAGTCAGTGCTGGCCCAGCAGGATGACTGGAATTCATTGGGCCAGGCAAGCAAAGCTGGGCAGGTGAGCTGGGTCTGGCAAGGTGCACTGAGTGTGTGGGGCTGGAATCCCCTGTCTCCTCCCATCAGCACATGCTATTCTGCAGATCAGCCACCCAGAGCGCAAGTCCCCAGAGTCCGACTGGAGCAGCTGGGAGGCTGAGGGCTCCTGGGAGCAGGGCTGGCAGGAATCCAACTCCCCAGAACCACCCCCTGAAGGCACCAGGCTGACCAGCGAGTATAACTGGGGTGGCCCAGAGCCCAGTGACAAGGGTGACCCCTTTGCTGCCCTGTCTGTGCGTTCCAGTGCCCAGGTATGGGTCAGGTGAGGGTGTGGACCAGGTAGGGGTCAGTTGGGTGTCAGCCCCCACTGTAACTAGCACTTCCTTTTTTAGCCCAGGCCAGATGTGGACTTGTGGGGTGAGGACAGCTGGGAAGGCCTGGAGACAGACAGCCGTAAGTGCTTCCCCACCCAGGGCTAGCAGCCAAGGTGGGAGTAGGGATGGATAGCTGATACCTGGACAGGTCAGCCTTCAGCCTGCTTTCCCCAGGGCAAGCCAAGGCCGAGCTGGCTAGGAAAAAGCGTGAGGAACGGAGGCGGGAGATGGAGGCCAAACGTGCAGAGAAGAAGGCAGCAAAGGGCCCCATGAAGCTGGGAGCCAGGAAGCTGGACTGAACCCTTGGGGGGGCGCTCCTACCAGGAAAGCAGGCCCAGCCCATGTATTTATTGTACAAACCATGTGAGCCCGGCTGGCCCGCCAGGCACATCTCACGTGTACATAATCAGAGCCACAATAAATTCTATTTCACACCCTCGGTCCTGGGCTCAGTGTGGCCCCACCAAGATGGGTGGGGGCTGGCACTGCCCTGCACAGTCCTGGCCAACCACAGTGTGAATGTCAGTTTGCTTGGAAAGCCAAGAGTAAATCGAAGAGGCACGATCTGATTTACCAACTTCTAGGACTTGTCCTCAGGATGGCTGGCAGTGACCAGCAGACTCAACACCCAGGCATAAATCAGGGGCCTTTGGTGCAGAAAAGGCCCCGGTGAGTTGGTGAGTTCCTGGGCCCGAATCCCCAGTTGGGGCAGGAGCGAGGTACCACGTTTGCCCCCAGTGTCTACGGAAACCTCTCAGTGACCAGCAAGCAGCCAGGCCACTCAGCGGCGGCGCTGGGGTACACACGCCCCATGTGGGCGGCTGCGTGCGAAGCCGGCCTTGCAAACGCAGCGGAAGGAGCCGCTGGTGTTCACGCAGCGCTCGCTCTTGCACAGCAGCCCGCGCTGGTTCAGTTCTCTGCACTCATCAATATCTGCGGGAGGGGGTGACAGCGAAGCCTCCGCTTAGCGACCAGTCCCCGCCTAAGCCGCAGCTTCACCCCCAATCTCTCCAGCCTCAGCGCTGTCCCCCGGCCCTGCTCACCCACGCAGCGGGCCCGGGAGGCATCCAGCTGGAAGCCGCCGGGACACTCGCACACAGCGCCGCCCGGCCGTGGTACGCAGCGGCCACTCACGCAGCGGCACTCATCGGAGTCCTCCTCGGAGCTGTCCTCGTCTGTGCCAGCCGGAGGGATGCGGGCGTCAACACCCCCCCACACGAGGGGCAGCGGGCCCCCACCTCTGCCTCGCTCACCTCTCGGGGGTTTTCCCAACAGCAGGGGGCTCGCGTCCCAAAATGAATTGCTTTCACTCTGCGACGTCGGGCACTGGGACCCTGGGAGGGCGCGGGAAGGTCAGGGACCTCGGTGCGACCCGCGCTCCCAACCGTCACCCCACTGCGGCCCCCACCCTGCTCACCGGCGCCGCGTAGCGGGCACGGGCGACACTGTGCGCCCCAACCGCGGCCCTGGCGGCAGCAGCAGTCGTCGAACGTGAGCCCAGGCCCGGCCAAGGGCCCCGCGCACATGCCGTCCTCCCCGCGCCGGCTCCAGCACACGTCGCGCCTCTCCGGGGCCCGCTCTGCAGAGGACACTGGGCGTCAGGACGCCCGCGGCGGAGTGCAGCCGTCGTGCTCCGCCGCACTCGCGTGGGGGCTGCAGACCCGGGGCTCCGCCCGACCGACAGGACCCCGGAGTCGCCCTCACCGGCCGGACTCTCGGGGAGCTGGCAGTCGCGGCCGGAGGGCCCGGGCACCCAGGGTGGGCGACACTCGCATCGGTAGGAGCCCGGCAAGTTGACGCAGCGGCCAGGGCGGCACACCGCCGGGTCCTGGCACTCGTCCACGTCTATGGGCAGCGAGGGATGGGCAGGGGTGGCAGTCAAAGCTCAGCCCGGCGCGCCGACCCCTGCCCCCGACTGCCTGGCGCGGGCCTCACCCATCTCCTCCGGGCTTAGGCACTGGCGCTGCGCCGGGCTGTACTCAGCGGGCGGTGTGCAGGCACAGCGGTAGCCGCCGCGCGTGTTTTCGCACACGCCGTTCCTGCAGTTGGCCTCGTCCAGACACTCGTCCACGTCTGCGGGGAGAAGCGCGCGTGGCAGCGGAGGCCGGCTGGGTTCTGGCCCGGGCCTCGCCCACCTCTTCGCCTTCGCAGGCCGCTCACCCACGCATTCCAGCAGGTTCCCGTCGTAGTAGAAGCCTTGCTTACAGTAGCACTCGTAGCCAGGTTGCGTGTTCACGCACTTGCCCTCCTTGCAGATCTCCACCCCGAACAACATGCACTCGTCGATGTCTGCGGAGGTGACAGCCATGGGTGTCTCGCCGCCTCTACCTCCCCAGCCGCTCCGCCCGCAGCGAGGAGGCATAGGCAGGGCGCAGCCCCAGAACTGAAAACAACCACAGGCTGCAGGGCGTGGAGTGAGGCGGGGCGTCCTGGGGGCGGGGCGGGACGCACCACGGTGGGCGGGGATGCCGTAGTTGACAATGTTGTTGTCCTGCGTGTAACCCTTTCCGTCGGGGCAGAGGCTGTGGAACTCAGCTGCAGGGAGAGAGAGCGGCCGCGGAGAAGGAAGGAGGCAGGACTAAGCGTGGCCTGCGGGCCGCGGAAGACAGATTGGGACTCCCCACCTGGCTTCCCCGCTACCCGCGGAGGGGGCATTTCTCCCGGCCGCTTTGCAGATAAACCAAGCAAGGCTCTAGGGAGGGGCCTGCTGGGGAGCCTGACCTGAGCTGTGGACTGGGCACGGGTAGATTTCGCAGTGGTCTCCCCAGCCAGCCCCCAGCGAGCAGCAGCACTCCTGCTGGGTGACGTTAGTGGCCAGTACACTGTCGCAGAACACCGTGTCATCGAAGTTAAGGTAGCACTCCTTCTTGTGGTGGGGCTGCTCGACCTCTGAGGAGGGAGGCAGCTCTGGGTCCAGCAGTCAGCCAGCCCCCATCCCCATCTGCCCCGTCAGTCCACCGAGTCACAGTGGTTCCCACTTTCCCTGTCTCCCTTTAGTGCCACGTGAGAGACTTCCCCCAGGTCAGGGCCCTTAGAGGACTCTCCCGGCAAAAGGTATATTTCTTGTTCTGCAAACTCAGGAGGGTGGGACCATGACACATGTCTGGACACCAGCTTCCCCTCAGGGGATTGTCTAGGCTGAGGAGGGAGCTAGGGAGACACTCACCCTCACATCCATGCTGGTCCTGGGTGGGTGTGAAGCCCTCATCGCAGACACACACGTAGGAGCCCTGCAGGTTCTCACAGGCCCCGTGGGGCAGGCACAGGCTGGGGTCCTGGCTGCATTCGTCTATGTCTGCAGGGAGTGGCTCTGATGAGGTCCCACCCTCTGCCCTGGGATATGCCCGCACGATTTCAGAACCGGGATTTCCAGTTTGATTTTTAAAGTACACACAACCTAAGTCCCCCCTCCCCCCAGTCTATCTGTGTGGATGGGTAAGGGGGTGCATGTTCACTTCATCCATCACCCTTGGTGACAATTGAATGGAGTCCCCTCAGCTCAGCTTTGAGGACCTTCTGCTCACTCTTTCAGTACTTTTTGGTCCACGCGGTACTCCATCCCCCTCCACAAAAGTGTCCAGTCCCTAAAAGCTGGCTGCTCCCAGATCTGTTCTTGGGGGTAGAATACCACTCTGTGTCTTTCTCCACTTAGGAAGCTTCTACTCTGCTTCAAGTCCCAATTCAGTGGTAACCTCTCCATTAACCACTTAGCCTTGACTTTCTTGAGCACTCCACACCCCCCAAACCCTAAGACTCAGATTACACTTCCTCCCCCTGTCCCTGCTGGGAGCACAGCACCAAGTGGCTGCTGAATACTTAGCATACAGTAAGAGCCTTGTAAATACAATACTGGGTGCTCAGGTATCTCTTGTTGATGAATGTATGGCTGAGTCAGTGGGTTAGACTGATCTGCAAAGAGCTGAGCAGAGCGCCTGTTAGTAGTAAGTTATTATTACTGTCATCTTTTAGTCGGAAGGGTAGAAGGACTAGTGGAGCATGGATGGGTGAGAAGGCAAAAAAACCCGCAGAAAATCTGTAGCGTGTCTAGGGGGTTGCTGCTCCCTGCCTCCCTGCTCAGGAGCCCTTAGGCCATCCCTCATACCTTGGCACTTCCTGCCACCCACCAGCCGATGCCCCTGAGGGCAGAGACATCGGTAGGAGCCATTGGTGTTGATACAGTCACCCCCAATGCAGGCAGCAGGAAAGTCACATTCATCGATGTCTGTAGGGAAGGAGCAGGTGGAGGATAGCAGGGCTGACCCCAAACACAGCCAGAACCTGCCCAAGCCCTCACCCCCAGCACAGAGCTCTGGGTTAATCCGGAATCCCACACCCTATCTGGAAGCTGGATGGGTACTGAATCTGGCTAGGGGTTCTGGAGGAGGGAGGTACAGGCCAGTGCCTTGGCTCTAGAGCCCTTCACCTTCGCAGTGGCTTCGGTCCCTTGACAGATGGTAGCCAGAGAGGCACTGACACTGGAAGGAGCCTGGTGTGTTGGTGCAGATGCCATTGTCACAGATGTCCCCAGCCTCACACTCATCCACGTCTGCAGGGCACAAGGTAGTGTCAGAGGGCCAGGCTGGGAGCAGCCTCAGGCCTCTGCTACTCTTTAAGTTCCTGTCCAGGGCCTACAGCACCTGAACGGAGGTCAGCAAGAGACCCTCACCCCACTCCCATGTGCTACCCCATGCCACAGCAGCCACAGCAGCCACAGCAGGTGCTACCAGCGTCCCTGGGCCACATCTGATCTAAAAACCTCACCAAACAGGAGAGCACTCTCCCTGCATTTTCTCACCACACTGCCTTGGGCTTTCCTAGCTTCTCAGATGATGCTCTGCAGGCCTCCCTGTGTCCCTCTTTCCACTATCCCTGCTCCTACCATTCTCCCTCATCCCCATGCACTCCCCCTCGACACTGGGTGAAAGTACCACCTCAAACCTGCACAGCACCACAAGCTCAGCAGGGAAGCTCTGGCTTAGGACTCCCAGCCTCTACTGGCATCTCCAGCTGAGCACGGGGCCACCCCCTCAATTTATCCAGAGTGGAGCTCAGTAACTTCCTTCCCAAATGTGCAGTGTTACCCAATGAGTCCCCACACTAGACCCCTAGAGCTCTCTTCCCCTTGATAGCCAGTCAACAATTGATTGTTTTTAATATTTCTCTAACATCAGACATTTCATGGCTATCCTGAAGCTACTACTCTCCTCCCACCCACCACTTCCTGGCACCCTGTCTGCCTTCTTTGCTAGCTCCTGCTGGTCCTTTTAGACAACTCAGACCTCCTTGCTCCGATCCAATGGTGTTTTCCCTGACTCCATCAGGGGTTTGAGCCCAGCCGTTACACTGTCTTATGTGCCTCAGTTTCTCTGAATCTCAACCCTTAGCTTGATGTGTAATAACATTGATGCAGGAACCACTACTAATGCTTCCCAAATCACTGATTTTTTTTTTCTTCAAATTTAAGTAACATGCCTACAAGAAAAAAAAAAAAAAATGAGCTGGGTGTGGTTACGCACACCTGTAATCCCAGCACTGGAGAGGCTGAGGCAAGAAGATCGTGGTGAGTTGGAGACCAGCCTGAGCTACAAAGTGAGCTCAAGGCCAGCCTGAACTGCACAGTGAGACCCTGTCTCAAAAAGACAAAATAAGTAAGTAAATAAAAAAATAATAAATTTAAGTAACATGCTTTGCGAATGCAGCTCCAATCTTGCCGCAAAGACCCTCCCTGCAAACTCTGCTTTCCCTTCTCAGAGCCATGAGTCACCGGATCAGTGAGCTGAAGTGAATTAGTCGCCTACCACCCAGCCATTTCCCAGACAGAGTGGCGTGTTCCCCGAAGCAGCGGCTAGGGGGTGGCCTGCGTGGCCGGCGGGAGCTCACCTACACAACTGCGGCCATCGGGCGCGGGCGCGTACCCCTGAGCGCAAGTGCAGCGGAAAGAACCGGGTAGGTTCTCACACCAGCCAGGAGAGCAGGGACTGCCCTCAGCGCACTCGTTGATGTCTGCAGCAGAGATGACCCGCTTCAGGCACTACCCGCACGCTCCGCTCTTGAGTTATGGATTTCCTCCGCCCACGGCTAGGGGGCGCCCTTCTGCCCCAGGAGGTCCTACCCCTCAGGTTCCGCTGGCTGTCGCTAGCCCCACCGGCCTCCCTGCAGAATCCTGAGCCAGATCCCGCCTCCTCACCGGGTACGGCCTGAAGGCCCCGCCCCACCGCGTCATGCCCCGCCCTCACCGCGACAGGCCCCGCCCCCTTGGCTGCGGTAGCCGGGCTGACACGGGATGCACTTGAAGCTCCCGGGTTTATTCTCGCATTTGCCATCAGGGCAGGTGCTGGGATCCCGACATTCATCGATATCTGCATGGCAGGGTGAAACAAGGACAGCGCTAAGGACAGCGGGGCTGGCTTGGCGCTCCCGGTCCTCAGCAGGGCCTTCGTCCCAAATCTTTTTTTTTTTTTTTTAAATCGGTACCGAGGATCGACCTCACGACCGCCTGCTTGCAAGGCAGTTGCTTATGTCGCTGAGCTAAATCCCCAGCCCCGTTGTCCCAAATCTAACCAGCCCTCTGGGCTCTGAGGCTTCAGCCTGAAAGGTGCGGAGCTGGGCAGAGACGATCGTAAACCTCCCGCTCCCAAACCAGGTCAGAGACAACAGCGAACTCCGCCCCCACCTTCGCACACCGGCGGGCGGGAGGATTTGAGTCGGTAGCCCGGGTAGCAGTTGCACTTGTAGTGGCCGGGAAAGTTGATGCAGAAGCCGCCGTCGCCGCACACGTGGGGCTTGGCGCACTCGTTCAGGTCTGAGCGGGAGAACCGGATTTGGGGAGGGGAGGGAAGGGTAGGGGCCACCCCTCGGCGGGAGGCTAGCCCGTCCCACCCTGGAAGCCCTGCTCCCTCGGTGCTCACCCACACACGAGCGGCCCCCGGGGCCCACGTGCAGGCGGTAGCCGCGGTTGCAGTGACAGTTATAGGAGCCCCCGGTGTTCAGGCAGGTGCCTTTCCCCGGGCCGCATGGCTCCGCATCACACTCGTTCACGTCTGGGAAGGACCGGCGAAGGGAGGTCGTGAGTTGGCCCGCCTCGCCGCCGGCCACCCGCGCGCCCGCCCCGACCGTGCTCACCCACGCAGTAGCGGTGCTGCGGATGCGACCTGTAGCCCGGGTTGCAGTGGCAGGAGTAGTCGGAGGGGCCGGGGACGCACTCTCCATGGCCACAGATGTTTTGGTTCAGTCTGCATTCGTCGGTCTCTGGGGGAAGGGGAGAAATCAGCATGCCAGGGGGTTGGTTGAGCAGGGAGTCTCCTGCCATGTCCCCAGAGCAGACGCTGACACCCCAGGCCTACTGATGGGGACACCTGAGCAGAGTCATAGGCTGACCCTAGCTTACTGCACACCTGGATGCAATTCTTACAATTTTCTACACCTTATCTTTTGTGTGTGGGAATCAAAGTCAGCCTCACGCTTGCCACCCAAGCACTGCATTGCTGAGCTGTACCTTGATCCCTCCACACCTTATCTTACTTTTTTAAAAATTATTTATTTATTTATTTATTTATTTTTTGTCTTTTTCATTTTTATCGGTACTGGGGATCGAACTCACGACGGCCTGCTAGCAAGGCAGGTGCTTATGCCGCTGAGCTAAATCCCCAGCCCCAACACACCTTATCTTAAATAATCCCAGTGTCATGATCCCAGATGGCTCTATACAATACTAGGTCCCTAACACCCTGAACACTCCAGTACCGGGACCCTTGATACTTCCATACCCACTCACTCCAAGACACTGACCTCAACCACCCCAAACAAAGCCATGTCCCCTGGTCATCCCAATACCCTCACCCATGGGGCTCTGAGACCCAATTCCCAAGTCACCTCAATACCTAGACTCTGTAGCCTCAGTCACACCAACATCATCTAGCCAGTGACTCCAAACACCTTGTTCCCCCCACCCCTGGGGACTTGGGTTCCCATTCCAGGATGGTGGAGTACCCCTTCCCTGAGTCAGGGGAAAGCCAGGCAGGAATCTCTTCCTTGGACTATAAACTCCCAATTTGGCTTTGTTTTGTTTTGTTCTCTCTCTTTTTTTTTTTTTTTTTTTTAACCAGGGATGGAACTCACAATCGCCTGCTTGCAAGGCAGGTGCTTATGCCACTGAGCTAAATCCCAGCCCCCTTTGTTTTGTTTTGGACACAGGTCTTGCTGTGTAGTTCAGGCTGATCTGAAACTCAAGGTGATCTTCCTGCCTCAGCCGCCTGAGCACTGGGATCATAGGTGTGTACTACCATGCCCAGCTGGACTCTTTTTCTCTCTCTTTTTTTTTTTATTGTTTTGAAACAGGGTCTTGCTCTGAAGTGTAGGCTGGCCTTGAACTTGCTACTAGCTGGACTCCTAACTTGTGTCACAGTGTGCACAGCAGGTCTGATGCAGGAACCCCTCTCATTCTCTCTGACTTCAAGCCAAGGACTTCTTTTTCTCTCTTTTTGATCCGTTCTACCCACAAGTCTTACCTCCAGCACCCCACCCCTACCTCCATGCATCCTGGGCTGCGCTACACCTGGCCTAGCCCTGTAGCCATCCAGCTGGTGGGCTGTGCAGGCTGCTTCTTGCCTGGAGCAGCTCTCCAAGGGGCTCCTTGACACCCTACTCCTCAGGTTCCTCATCAGCCACACTCCTAGTGCTCCCAGGAGAACCACTTTCCACCTGAGCCCTCCATCTAGGAGCTCACTGAGGCTCAGGGTGTCACTCAGCCAGGCAGGTCCCTTGTGCTTCAGGGCACACAGTGACAGGGCTTGATGCTGGCTTAACTGTGTGGCCCAAGTCACTAAGACTTTCTGTGCCTCATATATCCCATCTGGAAAAGGAGGCAAGCAATACTCACTTCGCTCTATGAGAAAGTTAAACGATATTTAGTCTGCAGAGCTCTTCAGGCAGCGCCTGGCACAGAGGGATTGCTGTCTGCAGTAACAATTATTATGATGCTCAGATCTTTGTGGGCACTTCCTATAGCCTCTGGCACCAAACCCAAGCCTCTTTACAAGGGGGCAGTCCTGCTCTCCAGGTTCAGACACCCCCGGAATGTGGTTTCTCCCTCTTCCGCCCAGCGTTTCATACTTCCACGCCTTTGCCCAAATTTAGCTTCCCCTTGAATGTTCTCTTCAACCTGCATTCCCCTCCTGTCTCCACTTCTCTTGAGTTTCTAACAATCTTTAAAACTCTGCCAGAAAGTTTAAGTCATTACTCACCCCTTACATATTATCACAACCCCCAGACTTCCTTCCTTCTCTGATTTATTTTTTCATAACATTTATGAGACTTTCTAATTTTTTCATTTTTATCGGTACCAGGGATCGAACTCACGACTGCTTGCTTGCAAGGCAGGCACTTATGCTGCTGAGCTAAATCCCCAGCCCCAAGACTTTCTAATTTTTTATATACTGATATTTTTTTTGTCTGTCTGCCCTGCAAGGACAGGAAATTTTTATCTGTTTTTGTTCACTGTAGTATCCTGAGCACCTCAACAAATGCATGACACATAGTAGGTGCTCAATAAATACAGGTTGAAAGAATGAATGTCCCCAGTCTGGGAGGATCACCACCACTACTTGGACTATTTGTGAGCAAGGAGGGATTCCCACTGCTCACCGGGAATTCTGCAGTGCCCAGTCCCAGACAAGCTAGAGAATGATGGGAGGGTACAGGAGGAAGAGAAAGACGGAGTTCAGGGGAGCGGCTTTACCAGGCAGGCCTTACCTGTGACTTGAGTGGGGGCGATCTCTACCGCACTGCGGGAGGGGGGCAAGTCTGGGGGCAGGAACCAGCGGATGGTAGGTGGCGAGGGGCGGGATATCAGTTCTGCAGGCAGCATTACAAGGCTGGTCAGAAACAGCCTCTCTCCTCCCCCCAGGTCACAGCCCAGCCTTGCTGTCCTGAGCTGTGACCTCTCCCCATCCATACTCCACCTTCATCCCTGCATTGCCCAGCTTACCTGGGTAGGGCCGGGCAGGAGAGGTGGTGGCTATAGGGTGGCTCTGCTGTACTGACCGCTCCTCGATCTCTGGCTGCAGGTGACAGCAATATGAGCCCTCCCTGAATCCCTCACCTCTTTTGCCCCCTCACCTGGGGTCATACTCACTGGATCCGTGGTCAATCCTAAGGGGGAAAAAGATGAGGCTGTTAAGGGTTAGGGTGGGAGATGGAGTCAGTTGGGGAGTCAGCAGCTAGGGCTGTATGGTGAGGGTCTCTAAGACTTCAGCAGTCATGGCTTTTGTTCAGAGGTAGAAATCAGATCATGGATCAGAATGTGTTTGCTTGGTGGTCAGGGGCCGGGTCAGGAGAGCAATTTTGGGTTGATCAAGGGCCTGGGGTTATAGGGCTGGGGATATAGCTCAGCAGCACAGAGTCTGCCTGGCCAGCATGAAGCCTGAGTTCGATTCCCAGTACCTCTGCCCAAAAATAAAAACATAAAAAGACATGTCTGTGATTACAGATCAAGGGATAGGAAGTTATATCCAGGGTCGGGTCAGGGGTCAGAGGTTCAGGCCTAGGGGTCAGGGATTAGAATTAGGGCTTAGACACAAGATCATAGCTGTGGAAGAGGTCAAGGGGTCAGGCCAGACCTCTCTCTTCCTCTGTGTCCTCAGGTGGTGGCGCACGGCTGGGGCTTTCAGGGAGCTGCTGGGGTTTGGGTGGCCCATCAGGATGCAGAAAAAGGGAAAAGTCACTTTCGCCCTGGATGGTGAGCGTCTGGTGGGAGGTGAGGATGTGGTACCCCTTCCCAGCTGGACAGATTTCTTTGAAGGCAGCTGTGGTCAAGAAAGCAGACACAGAAATGAATTTTTCCTGGCCATGTCATAGACAGGCAGCCCCTACCCCTGCATGCCCCCCACCAGTGGCATCCGTTCCCCCCTACCCTCCACTCACCAGTGCCATCTGCTGGGCAGCGTTGACACCTTGCTCCCCAGGCCTTGCCCACGCTGCAGCAGCAGAGCTGGCGGGTGAGGCGCGTGGTCAGGGGATGCTGGCACTGGTGCTCTGGGCTCACCAGGCGGAAACACAGGCTCTTCTCCTCCGGCTTGTCCGCTGCAGAGGACAATGGGGCCATGGGCATCTGGGCCTGCATACTCCCTATGTCCCTCTGCCCAGCTGCTCTAGACCTCACTTCTTGTGGCCCAGACAACCCTTATCCCCACATGGTTGCTGACTTCCTATGACCCCTAAAACCTATGTGACCACTAACCTCAATGACCCTGATTCCCATCAAACCCACTATTTATAGGGCCCTGACTTGGTGTAAGCCTTGCCCTGTAGTGACCTCTAACCTCAGATCTCAGATAACCCTTGACCCCACTGATTCCAATTCTATCTGTTCTGGGCCTTGTTCCTCATATACTCAACCCTTGACCCTACTCTGACCTCTTGTGAGCTTTTACTCCTGCCGCTGGGAGCTTTACCCCTCCCACCCGTGCCTCTGACTTTCCAGGACCCTGACCCCCTGTCTCACCAATGCACTGAGTGCGGGAGGGGCCCAAGCTGTGGCCAGGTGGGCAGATGCAGCGATAGGAGCCCAGGCTGTTGAGGCAGTCGCCGTGCCGACACATCCCTGGCATCGCACACTCATTGATGTCTGTGGAAAGCAGACTACTGTGGTCCCTCTGGTGCCACAGGGTAACCACAAGCTGTTCCAAGAATCTCAGGGTCCTGCCCCAGTCCCACTCCTCCCTTGCCAACACTGGGACACCCTCCCTGCAGTGACCTCTTGCTGCCTCCCCAGCCCCCAGGTCCCCTGCTGGCAGTACCCTGGCAGTGGCTGCTGTTCAACTTCTTGTAGCCCTGGGGGCACTCAGAGCCCACCTCCCGTACAGGGCCTGGCTTCTGTACCCCTGTGTCTGCAGAGAGAGGATGGCATGCTAGTGGGTGCTGGGGGCTTGCAGCGGTGGGGGAAAGCATTGGGGAGGCCAAGGGGATGGGGAGACGAAGTTGGTGGACCCTAGGTGGAGACCCTTGCAGGGTTGGGAGGAGGAGGACTGGGTGGCACATTGGGCCCAGGCACTCACACTGCAGCTGGGGACATTTGTGGCACTTGCTCTGGCCCCAAGCAGTGCCGATGCTCCCACAGCAGTCCTCCTGCTTGGTGAGGCCGGGCAGGGGGTTGCTGCCACACTAGGAGAGAGGTGGCAGAGGGGTCACAGAGCGCCACTCCCCCTTCTTGGGGCACTCTTCCCCAGCCTGCCAGCCCTCAGTTTTCGCAGTCCTGATTAGACCCTGAGAGATGGAGCTTCGGTTTTGTAGAACCATGGAATCACTCACTGGCTGCTTGGGTAGGGTGTCCTGGAAGCAGCGGCCCAGGGGCTTCTGGGTGGGTGGTCGAGGGTGTTGAGGCTTGGGGTGCGGCAGCAGGTGCTGGGAAGGGGCAGGGCCCTCAGCGTTGGGCCCCTCGATGCGGTGCACCTGGACAGAGGCCTCGGGCGGGTGGTGGACTCGGACGTTCACCACGGGGGGCGGGGCCTGCACTGGGGGCGGGGCGCAGCGGCCTCAGAGCTGCTCATCGCATGGGCAGCATGGGCTGCCAGTGACTGCGCTGAGCTCCTCCAAGGCAGGTCTCTGCCCAGATCCAGCCACCCTCATGCCAACCCCTCTCCCCCTCCCGTAATTTGCCCTTTGCCTGGTACCTTCTGCTGATATCTGTCCTGGCCCCAGGGGTACCAGGAAAGCCGCGTGCTGGGCAGGAGGCCCCTCCCCTGGCCCGGGAGGGTCGGCGATCACCTGCACCGCGTAGATAGCATGCTTGCTTGCCACAGACTCGCCCTCTGGAACCAGGTGCTGCAGGGTGCCTGTGGACCCCACCCGGGCCAGCCCTGGGCCTGAGCCTCCTCCGGCCCCGCCAGCTCCTCCAGCGGGCACCTGGCAGAAGCGACCAGTGAAGTCGGGGGGACACAGGCACTGGTTCCGGGAGGAGCACTGGCCGCCATTCACGCAGGGCAGAGGGCACACCACTGAGAAAGGACATGCATCAGGTCACAGGCTGGCCTCCAGCCCCCAGGCCCACTCTCACCCACATCCTGTCCCCCTTTCCTTGCCACCCACTGGCTGTTGTCCTTGGGAAGCTGGTTTGATGACACATCACACGCACAGAAATTCCCACTCTTGGTCCTCAGCCCTGGCATACCCACAGTGGCTCCCAGAGTCAAGTTTCCAATTTAAATCCCGGCGAGGCCATGAGCCAGCTGTGTGACCCTTGACAACTCACTTCTGCCCTGTGCCCCACTGCCCCAGCCATGGGCATGTTGTATGGGTTAAACCAGGCAATGCTCAGCACAGAGAACTACGGAATAAGCAACTGTGATTCCGCATGGCCTATCTGGGAAAGTGATCCCTCCCTTCTCATCCTCCTAACTCAGGGCTCTGCCCCTTTCCTCTTGCCTCTGCCTTGCCATCTGAGCCCAAGATTGACACTGCTAGTGATGCCAATCTCTAGATATAGCCATAGTCCCCAGCCTCTCCACTACCTCTTGGCCACCTCTGCTCCGGCACTGTCTGCAGTCACCTCTCCCTACCTCCCCTGCCTGCCCAGCCACACACAATTGGGCTTTTCCTGCGGCCTCCAGTGAGCCCATCTCCCCACTCCTCATGGCCCCTGCCCCTCCCCCAGCTCTGGCCATGCCAGACTCTTCATGTCCCTGCCTCTCTCTTTCCTGTCCTCAATCCCTGCACCCCCAGAGAAACCTACTCTCAGCAGAACTCTGGCACAACACACCAGCTCTGGAATTTGCTGGGACTTTCAAAGCTCTTCACAGCCCAGAACCTTCTCTCACCAATCCCCTTCAGTCTTCCCACGTGTACCCTACATTCCAGGGTTCGCCTTCCTCCTACCTGCCTGTTCTTCCACCCCACGCCCTGTCCCCCATCTCTGCATGTTCCAACGTAACTCTTCTGAGCTCCGCTTCTCCCCAGGAAGGGGACCCTTCTCACATCTCACCTACCACGTTTGCTCTCGAGTTTCCTTGCTTGCTTATAGTTTTATCTGTTGCTCCCACTCTACAGGGTACTTTGGAGGGCAGAGGTCCAGGAGATGAGTGAAGGGGTGAATAAGAAATGAGATCTTGGTTTCTCTGTCACATACACCCATCCTGTGTTTCAGGATCTTGGAGCCCTGAGCTACTGTGCTAGCCGGAGTCCCTCTCCTGTCTCCCCTCAGGGAATGGCCTCACTTTCCAGGGAAAGAAAGTTTTCCTGGACACCTGAGGGTCCAGAAGGACAGCCCTAATCCCTTGCCATTAGGGTCAGGCTAAGACCATCCCAGCCCCATCCAGCTCATCCTGCCTGGCCCCTTGGGGCCAGGAGGCCTCACAGGACAGAAGAGGTGTGTCCCAGGCCTGGAGAGGCAGAATGCTTTCCTTCCTTCCTCCCAGTGAGTCACCCATAGCGGTGAGGGTGACCTCCCAGTGACATCCGCCCACTGTGGCCTGGGCACTTAGCCCTGGGGATGTGGGCAGCATGGATGGAGACAGCAGCCTGAGCAGGACGGCTGAGGGCCTGGGAGGCAGGGTACACACAAATTCACATAAAGTCATCTCCTCACATACACAGACTTACTCGACACCAACATGGGCTCATTATGTAAACACTCCCCTCCCTGACAGTGAATGCAAACACACACCCAGGACAACACAGAGACACTGGCTAATCACCGCTCCAAGGCAGAACCATGCCTCCCCAGATATGGGGCCATATGAGTGCACACACATACACACACATTCCCATTGGGGTTCCTTAGGGCTGGAGTGGGTGAGTGAATAGAGGAATGTGTGAGAGGGGCTATTTTGCTGGTGCCATCCTGGGCTCAGCCTAATTACCCTGTCCAGGAGGGTAATTACTGCTGGGACACCTCCCCCAGCCTGGCCCAAGGGCCCTCGAGGAGGCCTGAGCCCCAAGTCAGGCTCTCTGAGGAGAGATGCTGGGGAAGAGGTAGACTCCAGGATGGGTGGGAAAGTTGTAAGGGCTTCGGTTGAGGTTGGCTCAAGGGCCTTCACCGTGTAAAAAGCCTGCCAACAGCCATGGAAAAAAGAGGCAAGCTAGCCCCCACCTGTAGGCTGCACCCCACCTCTCAGATCCCACTTAACAGTTCCCTCTCAGACCTTGCCACCAACTGACTCTTTCACCCCAGCCGTGACCTAGGCTCCTCCTCCAGAGAAAGCAGGTGTATGCTCTGGGCAGGGCCTACTTTAGTCATTTAAAAGACTTGTTTTGTAAGGAAAATATTCACCCTTTCTTGGAGACTTCCGGCCCTGCTCACATTCCTCAAAACCTCTGTGTATTCCAGCACCTTCCTGAAAGCCTGTGCCATCCACAATCCCATTCGAGTCCCCAACCCCAACCCAAGCTTCAAAGTTAAGGCCGCTGGGCCCCCCAACTCCGGCCTCCAGGACTGTAACCTCCCAAGCCCAGGGGCTCTGGACTTCTGCCTTGTGTACCCTAGGTCCCCACCGCTTATGCCTGAGGCTCTGCTCTGCAGCCTGCAGTTCTGGCTCCCCAGGCTTCCCAGCCTGAGCCCCCGGCCCTCACCCACGCGGAAGCCGGAGCCCGTGAGCGTGTCTGTGCTGTGGCCGTTCTCTCCGATCAGCGTCATGTTGGTGCCGTGGTGACAGCTGTCGTGACACTTGCCCTTGAGACACGTCCGCTTGCAGTACACCGGCGCAAAGACCACCTTGAAGCGCTCTCGGGCCAGCGCCCCGCCCCCGCCGGCGCCTCGCTCGCCGGCCGGCCCCCCCTCGGCCCCGCCGCCCGGGCCCAGCAGAGGCAACAGAAGCAGAGGCAGCAGCCCCGCCGCCCCCGCCCCGCGCATCGCAGGGGCCAGGCCGCTGGCGACCCCTCGGGGCCCGGGCATCCGGGCCGCGCGACCCCGGGGGAGCGCCGGGCGAGGGGCTAAGGGCCCGGCGCCGGCAGGGGTCGAGGGCCGGGAGCGCGCGGCCGGGCGCGGAGAGCGCAGCGAGGCGGCGGAGTGAGGAGGGAGCGGGCAGGGAGGGGGCCCAGCGCGAGGCGGCGGGAGAGGGAGGCTCGACCGCGGGGAGCTCAGAAACTTCCCTGCCTGGAGGAGCTCCGCCAGGCCCCGCAGTGAGGCCGGGCCGAGGAGGCCGGAGCCAGTGGAGGCGGAGAGGAGGAGCGAGCAGGCGGGCGGGCGAGGGGAAGGCGGGCGGCCGGCCCGCTGCGCGCCCCCTGGCCGGCTGCGCTCCCGCGGCCCCGGGACACAGAGCGCGCGGGGAGGACGCAGGGAGAAGTGAGCAGTTGTTTTCCCTGGCTGGAGCGCGGCGCGGCGGCGGCGAGGGGGGTTGGGACGCTGGCCCCGAGCCAGGGAGACTTTTTTTTTTTCTGTGCAAAGCGTCGCCGCGGCCGCCCGCAGGAGAGAGGGTGTGCGGACTGGCGGGAGGCCGAGGTGGGGGAGCTCCCCCCATGCCCCCTCCGCCGGACCCCGCTGGGCCCTTTCCAGGGCGCCCTCACCTGGGACCCGCGGGCCGGGCGGCCGGATTCCTCCGGGCGGGGCCGCGGCCAGCGCTAAACCTCGCGCCCCGCCCCGTCTAAGCGGGGATTCCGCGGCCCGGAAGATGGGCCTGGCCCAGGGTCACATCGATTCGAGGACTGGAACCCAGGCCTCTCAGCTCTTCACCAGTCGCCCTTGTGCGTTGGGGGAGTGGGGGAGGAGTCTCAAGACCCCAAAGTCAGTTCATAGTTCTCCTCTGCTCCCCTCTGAGGAAAGGACTCCAAGAGGGGCATTCTTGGAAGTCACAGTGATGTTTCAGGAAAAAAGAAAAAAATGCCTGTGGGATGCAGAAGGGGAGCAGAAAATACAAAATTGGAAATCCAGCTCCCCTGTCAACCCCCCTTTAGAGGGCTTCCTGGTGCCCATTTTGCCACTCCACACCCCCCCCCCCTTCCCCTCGTCTGGCTGGGCTGGCTGGACTGGCTCTGGGCCTCAGACACTCTGGAATCGCCAAGGACTGAGCTCAGGGCCTGGCCCCCTTCCCAGGCTAACAGCCTCGAGGAGGGGGACATTGGTTAAGGGCCCAGGGGGCTGGGGAGGGGCACAGCAGGGCCCCAGAGCAGGGGTTGGCAGGGGCTGGGGAGGGTTGGGGAGGGGTCTCACGTTTGATCAAGGCTAGAGAGGAGCCAGTTCTGTCCACTGATCTGGAAAGGAAGCTGTGGTGTTCCCAGACCCAGGCCATAAGCGAGACCCCAGGCTCCAGGGTCTGACTCAGCTCAGCAGGGGGAGGGGTGGCCAGGAAGCCAGGAGGCAGAATCAGGGTGGTGTCAAACCCTCCTAGGGAGGGCACCAGGGCTGGCAGTCCCCTGCGGAAAGGGGTTAGGGTTTACCTAGGCATACCTGTTCAAAGAACTAGAGTTTTTTTTATCTTGACGGTGAGTTTATGTGGGTAGCTTTGGGTGGGACTAAGGGAGACTCAATTGCTCAGTGACAGTGCCAGCTCGGCCCTTTAGTATTTAGTGTTGCAGGGCTGGGAGGTGACAGTGAATTCCCGGCTGCTGGAGTCCTGAACAGGGGTGTCCCTCCCTCGGCTCTGATCACACTCTGAGGCACGGAATAATACTGAAAGCTGAGCACCTGCCAGGCTCAGCCCTGAAGGTTTTAGATTCATTCTTTCCCCTCACAGTGGTCTGAGTCCTCCCCTGCCGAGAGCTCACCTTGGCACACAGCTCATAAAATCATCCAGCTTGGAGGCTCAATTTCTCTAAGCCCCAGTCTTCTCTCTTGTGGTGTGGGAACCCACTCCATGCTGAGCTCTCCCCTACAGCTAGAAGAACCCCACCCTTGACAGGCCTCTGTCCCTGGGGAGATGGGCATGTGACAATCACTTCACACATAATGGAGAGATTACCACAGAGGTCAGTGCATTGACCGAGAAGAACAAGAGCAGCTGTGAGACCTGGGGGTCCCTCTAACAGAGGGACTTTTCTAGTGAAGCCTGGGGGATGCTGCTGAGGAAAGCCTATTAGGGGTGGGGTAACTGAGGAAACCGAAGAGGGCGTAAAATTGGCTCTCTTGGCCCTGAAGCAAGCTGGTGGAGCAGCCAGCTTGGGGGTAAGGGAGAGCAGCATAGGTAGCAGGGGTAGGTCAGGGTGAAGCCTTTGGGTTTCTTTTCTTTTCTTTTTTTTTTTTTAGGGGGAAAGATACTGGGAATAGAACTCTGGACCTCACACTTGCCGGGCAGGAGCTGTGCCAGTGGGCTAAATCCCTAGCCCCTTTTTTGGGTTTCATTTTCATTGCCAGGGGACTGTGTCAGGGCAAGAGGAGGGCACTGTTGCCTTGTCCCCAATAGAGATAACTCTGCTTGGACCACAGGGAGCTGGAATCTACAGACTGTGAGAACCTGGGAGGAGAGGCGAGGCCTGTGGCACTGATGGCTCCCAGGTGTCTGGCTGGAGCCCCTGGGTAGGCGGGAGAGGAAAAACAGAGGAGGAGAAGAAAGCACAGGGAAGGGTTCTAAGCAGCTTGGCTGGACCTGCTGTGTCTGGGGTGTGGTGCGTCATCGAAGCCCAGCTGCCTGAGCTGGAATCAGACAGGACATGTGGCCTGGGGACCTGGGCTCAGTCCTCAGCATGCCAGGCATTTCTATGGCAGGGAGAGATGATTTAGCTAGGGAGAGACATGGGCTCAGAGCAGAGGGGCTACCATTCCCAGGTCCTGGAGAGGAGCTGGAATCAGCCCAGAGACCCAAGAGAAAACCAGCACTGGAGCAGGAAGAGGCAGGAGAGTCTGGGTAGAGGGTGAGGCTGGTGTCTTGTGCTGCTGCTGAGAGCAGGACTGGGCAGGCAGTGTCCCCGGGGGCTGGGGACATGGGAGAGGGCACTTGGCCCAGCACAGCATGCATCGATGCTCCAGTTTGCCTGCTGTCTCATCCAGTGCCAAAGCTCTCAGGGCCTCAGCAGGAAGTACTGGGCGCCTCACACCGTGCGAGGGAGCCATCATCTCCTTCCAGGCTGGCAACAGGAAGCCCTTAGCCCTACCTAAGGGCTAGAAAGAGCTGGTACCCCATTACATTCACACACAACCTAACCTAATTGGCAAATCTGTCAGGAGCCAGAGAGATGACTGCCCTAGGGAGCTGTGGCCTCAGTGGACACCTGTCCCCAAGGCCTGCAGGAAACGAGTATTACCCATCTCCTGTGGGCCCCCGGACTCCAGTCAGGTTGGAGACTGCAGCCTGTGGGCCACAGCCTCCCAGCAAGCAGCAGGGAGGTAGAGAGGGCAGAGTGGACCCACAGGGGAAACTGAGGCAGCCCAGTGAATGCAGTGTCCTTTCCCGCCCCTCTTCTAGCCTTTTCACCACACAGCGCCCTTCATCTTCCTTGAAGCTGCTGTTTCACGTGTTCCCAAGTGTGTAGACCTTCACACATGCAGGAAGAGAGCATGATCTTCAGGCTTATTCCAGATCACAAAGGCCACCAAGAGGTCTGCCGGGGGCTCCCCTGCCTCCTGCACTCCCTGCTTCACTCTGCCAGTCACTTTTTAAGGCATAATTTTGGGCTGGTCATGATAGCACACAGCTGTGATTCCAGTATTCTGGGGAGCTGGGCAACTTAGTGATTTAGCAAGACCCTATCTCACAAAAGAAATAAAAAAGGGGCTGAGGACATAGCTCAGTGTGAGGGTCCTGGGTTCAATCGCAGTAGTTAAAAACAGAACAGAACAAAAAATCAACGTGGGCAGGGCTTAGAGGTATAGTACCAGCACTTTAGGGGGTTGAAATAGGAAGATTATAAATAAATTCAAGTCTCAGCCTGAACAGTTTAATAATTTAGCAAGACCTGTCTCAAAATAAAAAATAAAAAAGGAGCTAGATGTGGTGGCATACGCCTAGAATCCTAGCACTTAGGAAACTGAGGCAGGAGGATCACTGGGAATTTGAGACTCATGTGTGTTGGGCGCAGGCGCTCAACATACCATACCCCACCTGGGACTAAGGACCACGCCAGCTTCCGCAATGCGCTACGTCCCTCTTTAAATTAGCCAACCCGTGCGCACCCCGTGCTCACTCCGTACTCTGTGGCAACCCCTGATTGGCCACAGCTGGATATAGTAGCCAGAGCCTGCGTCCCATTCCCGCCCTGCTTCCTCGTGGCAGCCTGTGATTGGTCACGGCCAAATATATAAACCAGAGCCCGCGTGAATAAAGCAGCAGTTAACTGTCGCCCACAAGAGCCTCTCCTGTTTCATTGGGGCTGCGCCGGTCAATGTGGGCTATGAAGTAAGCTCAAAGCCAGCCTAAACTGCATAGCAAGACCCTGTCTCAAAAAGGACAAAATAAATAAAATTAAAAATAGACTGAGGGTGTACTCAGTGTAAAGGCACTGAGTTCAATTTCCAGCAATATAAAAATTAATTAATCCAGGATGCTGGGAAGCCAAGCAAGCACCTCCCCTCCCTGGTAAGTGGCTCCCGTGTGGCTGACTGTGTCCCTTCCAGGGGGAAAACACCAATGTCTCCTGAGATTTGCACCATGTTGGAACTTAGGAACCTGGGAAATCAAGCAAGCAGCTCCCCTCCCTAGTAAGTGGCTGAAGTGTGGCAGACTACAGCCCCTCCAGGGGGAGAACCACCAGTGTCTTCTGAGATCCACACCATGTTGGAACTCACGAAGCTGGGAAACCAAGCAACCAGCCTGCCTCCCTGCTAAGCAATAGTGGTGCACGGCCTAGAGTCAAACATCCCACTTCTCCTATTCCCCTTCTCCTGTCCCCCTGTTAGCAAATGGGAACCAGAAATCTGAACATCTCCTGGGAGGTTGACCATAGTGAATAAGGGGGATTTCCTTCTATCATCTCTTTGAAGGCAAGTATTTTTGCTTTTTTATTTTTTTATCGGTACCAGGGATCGAACTCACGACCGCCTGCTTGCAAGGCAGGTGCTTATGCCGCTGAGCTAAATCCTCAGCCCAAGGCAAATATTTTTATTACTGTATGGCTCTATTCTGATTAACAGTACTGCTCTATTCAATATTCTGTTTTGATAAGTTCTATAATGTTCTGTATTTCATTTTATTTTGCTATATGTGATTGAAAGAACAACTATTGTAAAGATAACGAAATATACTGTGATACCTATTACTGCTATCCTGGTAACCTGCTGTGAAGTTCTGTACCAATTTCACTGTACAATCTTAGTTGGCTTTATTCTGTCTTGTTCTGTTGTATTTTACTACTTTCAAAATAAAATATTTTTTTTGGTCTTTTTTGTTTTTATCTGTACGAGGGAGCGAACTTACGACTGCCTGTTTGCAAGGCAGGGGCTTA